TGAATATATTGAATTATATTTTCAAAAATGTTAATATATTATAAACTTGTTATATAATTTGGTCCTACACTACAAATAATTATATTTATTTTGTATAGATTTATCAATTGCCCACAATATAAGCTTATAATGCTCAAGCTGTAACTTAGTTGCAATATTTTATTAAAACACAAAACAAGTTACAAAATACAACCTTCCACGTCCAGTACTGTATGCTAAAAACTAAAAAAGTATAAAGTAAAACCACTAAAAACCGTTAATTTTTTTATTTAACAAAAAATAAWATATTTACAATACATATTTTTTGTTTGATAACAAAAAATGTTGTTTAACAGTGTAACAATGTTTTACAATCAGGGAAAATTGATGAGCCCTTTCAATATGGTGGATTAAAATTCGGGTGGCCAGAGTTTCGATTCTGAATTAATATATTCTGTGCTATTAATACCTGTCATTCGTAATGAACAAGACATGAACTATGCAGATATTGAAAAAACAATTGCTGCTCTTGGTGAAAAAGCAAAAATAGGTGCCATCAATGTTGAAGACATGGATGGTGGAACTTTAACAGTCAATAATGTTGGAGTTTTCAAATCTCTAATGGAAACTCCGATTATAAACCCACCACAATCGGTTATTTTGGGAATGCATGGAATTTTTGAAAGGCCTCTTGCTCTTAAAGGACAGGATACTATCTATTACTGTAGTATTTTGTTATTGATAATAATTAATGTCATATTTCTCTTTTATTCGCTAGGTTGTCATACGACCAATGATATATCGCGTTAACATATGATCATAGTCATAGACTTGTCAATGGGCGTAAAGCTGTACTTTTCCTACACAAAAGTTAAAGCTGCCATTGAAGACATTATCAGCAATGATAATGTTCAAAGCCAACCATACTTACTTGGCATAATTATAAAAATTTAATTCTTGATTTAAAAAATAGCAATTTAATTATTATAAATCATCCGAAATGTTTTTTAATTTTAGTTTGAAAGAGTTTAAAACATTTAAATTTATTACGATAACAAAAAACATTTATTTTTTTACAATAACTAAACACATTTAATTATGATAATGACAAATACAAATAGAATTACATATTAATGAGTGAAAAAAAAAAAATTGTGAATATTATAGAATAAATTCAATATAATGTAATCAAATTAATAAATCATCCAAAAGTATCTTAAACTCATTCAAAGTTATAATTGAAAACCCTTTTATATGATTAATAAAATTTTAATCGTTAATCAAGAAAAAACAATTAAATTATTATTGACCATCAAAAAATGTTTTTAATTCATTAAAACTAAAATTGGAAATCCTTTTGGACGATTAAAACTCATTTTAACTAAATTTTAAAACTCTTTTGGATGAATAATAATAATTTAATTGATAATTAAAAATACCTATTTAATTATTATAAAT